ACCCCCTACGAAGGCAGCTCGACGTCGGCTACTTCTCAGACAAGTTACTTATCTCCGAACATCGTCCGTGTCCGTGTTGCCAAGGATCCAGCCGAGGCGGCTTCGTCAAAGTCATGACCATGGCTGTCATAGCCACTTGCAGGTTCCCAGCTGTCTGAGCGGCCATGTATTGGGAGGCTGCTGCAGCCATCTTCTCGGCCTCGGCACTATGTACAGGCAAGCCACTGCGCCCGGACCCGGGTTGGGATCATGCAGGACAGACATGTTTCGCGATGCAGACGTGCCACAGATGCATCCGCAGCCACCATCTTGAATAAGTCCACCAGCAAAAAGCCGCACATTGCGCACTCGCATCGGTCCATCAGGGACATGTTCCGATGCATAACGGGAGCCTTGCAGCACATGCAAGACCAAGGCTATAGAGTTGGTTACAGTTGCAACTGGACTTTTGCCACACAGCGTCACTGGAACTACTAGTCAGACATGGCACCAGGCAAGAGGTCACTGTCAAGTTGAACAAAAGAAGACCACGCAAGGCCCAGGGCACAGCAGCCGCTGCCAATGATTCCTGGGCCCGTGCTAAGCCCTGAACTCACTTCTACCCCTGCTGCGACCCTGGCTCCACGATGCAGTTCTAGCTGAGACACTGCCTTTCGCACCAGATACCATGGGCAGAACAGCAACGCGTTCAAGCGATCCGACATGGGATCATCTCGCACATATGCCGTAGGAGGCATGCCATGCAAATAGGCTTGGGTCGCATCCACAAAATAGTCACCCATCATAATTGTACGGATGCATGAGTTCAACTGCCCACCCGCGGCTTTCCCAGCATGGCCTTAGAATACAAGGTGACTGGAGTGCGTGCAAGAGGTTCTCTATGATGGAAGATTGAGTCTATGGTCGCCATGCCCTGCTAAAGCCGTCGAGGGACAGGGTCCTGGCAGCCCCCAGATCACCTCGCCTTTGTGCGCGCAGATTTGCACCGGCAGTCGCGGTAGCGCATGTGCTGGCAGGCTCTCGTACGTCAACTCCCGCCAGAAGGGGATGTTCTCCAACTCCGACATTTGAAGTTTGCGGTTCCCCGTCTGGAAATCAGCAATCCTGACCTGCAGGACAGCGGTCCCCTGCGGGAAGGAGGGGGCTTAGGGAACCCTGGATTCGAGGCATGGTGTCGAGGTGGCTAGTGATGTGGGTCTGGCTCCGAAAACAGCCACCAAGCCTTGCTGTGTGGGCCTGACCACCCTACACAATTGGAAATCCACTTTTTCCAGTGACTTGGGTCGTAGACCCCAATGCACCAACAGCTGTCGGCGGGAGTGAATTTGAACACACTCGTGTGTAGTGCTGCATGGAACAGCAGGCATGCGAACTTCCTTCAGGCCCGGGTCATCCCCTATAATGGGGCTAGTAAGGCTGCACAGTCTCGACAGACCGCTGAACCAAACCCCTTTTCAGCCCGAACCACCACTCCGGCCAGTGGCAATCGCTGGGGACGCCACCGACCAGCGGCGTCGCGCCCAGAGCTTCCTGCACCTGAGCTGGGCCGAGGGTTGCCATGTTCTTAGGGGGGGGCCCATTGTCTCGGTTGCGTTACACCACATGGCAATCCTGACCTGCAGAACAGCGGTCCCCTGGAAGTAGGAGGGGGCTTAGGGAACCTAAGGGTGCTAGTGATGTGTGGGTTTGGCTGCGACGCTTGGGTCGGAGACCCCAGTGCACCCAGCAGCTGCAGACGGAAGTAAGTTTGATCACAGCGCAGGCTGTCTAGTCTAGTGCTGCCGGCAGAGCCTGCAGCATGGGACAGCACGGATGCGAACGTCCTGTCGAGCATCGGTGATTGGACTGTGTTTTGGGCTTCATGCTGCGGGGCATGCCCGGCGGACCCGGGTTGGGATCAGGCTTCTCCGCACGACACACTAGCACGTCCCGTTTTTGCTCAGCAGCGACCCCTCACCGCTCAGTCATCACTGGCTGCCCGCAGTCTCTTGAAGCGCTCCAATGTGCGCTTCGCAACCTTCTCGGCCTCTGCACGCGTCTCATACCGACCGAAGCTTTCCTGGAGCTGCCGGATGCTAGGTGTGTAAGAGAAACAAAAAAAGGTTCAAACAAAGACAGCCACGTGCGGCCTGGCGTCCTTCTTTCCACTGGCAGGATTGGTAAGCTGTACGAAGAAAGCATGAGATTTTGCGCGCTTGTCGTGCTTCACTCCGGCCACCCTCGATACCTTCGCCTTGCATGGAAGCTCCTCTCGGCCCATACTCTGCATGAAGGTCCGAGCCTGCACGTAAGCCTTCAATCCTGCGAACTTCTTGGTGCGTCGCATCCCACTCTCCGTCCAAGAGACCCTCCACAGATCTTCGCGGCGATTATACCACAAGCCAGCGCTCTTGGACTGCCACGGGTCTCGTATGCGAACCAGTTTGTCGCCAAGAGGCACGAGGATGCAGCCATCGGCATCTCTCGCCAACTGCGACAAAGGGATGCCTTCGTCGTCAGAGTCTGTGCCGCTGGCCTGGGTCACGGACGTCCGAAAAGACTCGCGACGCCAGGACGCGGACACTTGCTCCACTCCCACCTCGAAGTCTATCACGCTCTGCCCGCAAGGATTGTCCTCAGCGGGGCTGGGGAAGGGGGCAGGAGCCTGACAACGCTGGGACGGAAGGACCTTGGGGCGGGACAAGCGCAGCCTGCTGTCCACAGTCGAGACACCCCGCAGCAAAGGGACCACGTCCGACCTGCAAGTGGGACAGTGGGACGGCCACCAGCACAGCTCCAAATGCTGCAAGCGCCCCGCCTCCGGTGATGTGTGCACTTCTCCCACCTGCAAAACGGGTGTGCATGAGTATGTCTGCGTGTAGACGGGAATGCAAGGCAATGAGAATTCGAGCAGCGCACGTCCCGCCTGGAAGTCTGAGGATCTCGGCCCAGCACGGGTCTCCTATCAGCCCACGAAAAGCTTGCTCATATGCCAGGCGACTTCCCGCTAGGACCTCTGCAGCGTCTGGTGCACCGATGGCAGCCAAAGTGCCAGTGCCAACCTGCATGCAGCGAGGACTCGAGACAAACTAGGCAGCCAGACAGCCAGATTGCCTCGCATGATGAGTCCACGTCGCCGGCCTTCACGAGGCTTGACATGAAAGGCTCTCTGATGTGACAGGATTCCCGCCTGCAGGCTTCGTGACATGGGCCCGGGACTGTGTTCCTGAGCGGCCTGGCAGCCAGCAGGCAAGTAGCAACGCCAGGACAGTGACATACCACTGGGACGGAAGGACCGTGGGGCGGGACAAGTGCAGCCTGCTGTGCACCGTCGAGACACCCCAACGCAAAGGGACCACGTCCGACCTGCAAGTGGGACAGTGGGACGGCCACCAGCACAGCTCCAAATGCTGCAAGCGCCCCGCCTCCGGTGATGTGTCCACTTCTCCCACCTGCAAAACGGGTGTGCATGAGTATGCACGGGAATGCACGGCACTCAGAATTCCAGCAGCGCACGTCCCGTCACGTCCCGCCTTGAAATCTGATGATCTCGGCCCAGCACGGATCTCCTGTCAGCCCACGACAGGCTTGCTCATATGCCAGGCGACTTCCCGCTAGGGCCTCTGCAGCGTCTGGTGCACCGATGGCAGCCAAAGTGCCAATGCCAACCTGCATGCAGCGAGGACTCCAGACAGACTAGGCAGCCATGCGGCCAGATTGCCTCGCATGATGAGTCCACGTCCCCGGCCTTCACGAGGGTTGACATGAAAGGCTCTCCTCTGTGACAGGATTCCCGCCTGCAGGCTTCGTGACATGGGCCCGGGACTGTGTTCCTGAGCGGCCTGGCAGCAAGCGCAGGCAAGTAGCAGCGCCAGGACAGTGGATTTTGGGGCGGGACAAGTGCCGCCTGCTCTGCACCGTCGAGACACCCGTCAGCAAAAGCACCACGTCCGACCTGCAAGTGGGACGGCCACCAGAACTGCTCCAAATGTTGCAAGCGCCCCGCCTCCGGTGATGTGTCCACTTCTCCGGACTGCAAAACGAGTGTGCATGAGTGTGTCTGCGTGTATACGGGAATGCAAGGCACTGAGAATTCGAGCAGCGCACGTCCCGCCTGGAAGTCTGAGGATCTCGGCCCAGCACGGATCTCCTGTCAGCCCACGAAAAGCTTGCACAGAGGGCAACATAGACTTCTGGCCAGACACCGCGCCTGCGGTGTCTTCTGTCGCGCGGGCATATGCACACCCCGGCCCCAGGTGTGAGCGCTGTCCGTGGCGACAGCAGTGAAACCAAGGCAATCTCGTTCCGTGAGCCAGCCAGTGATGACGGACGCTCCCAGGTCCGGCACCCGCTCGAAGACTGGCCGCTGCCTTTTGCGTGAGACTTCTGCTTCGGGCGTCTCTGGACATGCGTCCAGTTGCGAATGCAGTTGCTGCCACAGGTATCGATCTCGCCGCTCGGGGGTGGCCATTGGCGAAAGCATCTTAAACAGTTGGGAGCAACAGGCCGTGGCAAGAGTAACCTAAGCGTTAGGAGCAACAGGCCCGTGACGACGGCTCTGGATCTGTATAACCAGCCCGTGGAGCATCCGTTGCTTCGGCATCGGATCTCCAACTTCCAACAATGCGAAGATCCTCCTACCCAAGTCACTAGGAAAATCAGATTTCGCCCTAGGTTGGGTAGTCAGAGCTTCAAGCGACCACATCCCCAACACGAGTGGCAGGAACAACCGCAGCATGTGAGCAACCTACATGCATGGTCCCTCGCATCCCTGCGCTGAGCACTCGAGCCCTACGAAGAGAAGCACAGGTGCGGCAATGACATGGCAGTAGCTCGGCGGTCCAACCCGGGTCCGTCCCGGAACCTCGGCCTGCCCGGATCTGCCCGGCACATTGGGCGGCACAACTACGGCCACTTGCGGCGATCCTGTTTTCTATGAGCCTGCTGAAGCCAACACACGCATGATACCAAGACGCAGGCAAGTGAAGCCGCTCTTCATGCCCAGCCCAGCCCAACTCTTCCTCCCTCGCAGGTCTGCAAGCCACTAATGTTGCGCCGAGCGGCGATGCGCAGATCGAGCTGCTCCTGCCGAGCCTCTTCGGACTCGTCCTCCAACTGCGGGTCGTTGCGCGTCAAAGCCCGCAAGCTCCACAGGAGACAACTGCCGTCGGCACGGGACTCCTGGACAAAGATGCCAGCACGGAGCATGCGCTGGCGAAACTCCCGCAAGTTGTCCAACCTGAGTTACCGCAGGGCAAGCAAGCTAAGCAGACAAGGGCCCAGACCTACTAGACAGATACGTGTATAGATAGATAGTGATAGATGTAGTCGCTTGAGCCGCCGAAAAACCGCTGCATCTCCTCCTGCCACGTGATGACGGTCGCCATCGCAACGTCGCGCTGCTCTTCTTCGCAGTCTGCATAGTCTATTCTTGCCAAGTCGCACCTGAGCCTCGCCTCCGTGATGCGCTCGGTCAAAGAAGAGAATGCCTCCTCGTGGAGCCGAAGAAACTCGTCGTCACCAAGTTGCTCCCTCCACCAGCCGGGAGCCCAATGGTTCAATGGGCCCCGACAACAGTAGCTCGCACTGCAGAGCACCAGGACCCAGACGCTCTCACTGGATCTGTCGTGAGGCTGTCGCTCACGCAAACGCAGGTTGGCTGGGAGGAACTCTTGCAGGTACTCGTTGACTGACAGAAGCTCGGGCTCATGCTGGTTTGTGTCTCGATACAAGACGACATCCTTGGCTGGAAAAGAAAAGTTCCTATGTACCGGAACCTTGGACTCTGCACTCTGGCGCACACTTGACAAAAAAAATGCTGCCGAAGCGCTTTTGATGCATTCTCAGCATATAATATGAGATCCAGGGCTTCCAGGTACTCGTCGGGGCGCCGTATAGATGCCCTGTGTTTCGATATAGCCTGCCTGATGCCCGCCGCACCCTCTGGATGCATCCCTGCAGCAGGCAACTTCCAACAAACTAAACAAGCAATCCTTCCAGAGATCGGACATGCACACCTACAAGGCAAGCTCCACTGCAGCCACAAGCATGCACAGAAGGCCGCAGACACCTCTGGATGCATAGGCATCACCTTGTTTCAGTAGCAGTCGAGACGCACGCCGTTGTTTCAGAGGAGAAGGCCGTCTCAGCCACGTTCTGAACCGACAAGGCGCCGCCCTCCAGACTCCTCGGAACGAGAGCATCACTGCTTGCCATTCCCGACCCCCAGCCGGATTGCTGCCAGGCTTCGCTGCTGCCTCTGCAGCTGGAGGTGGATCAGGCTGCCCAGTTTTGCAGTCACTGGCCTCCTCATGCGGCCTCTTCCGAGTGTCAGAGCTGTGGCAGAGCACGGCATCCGGATTGTCCACGGCATCCGGATTGTCCTGGTCCTGAGCCAGAGAATGGACCGAAACCAATGCCGCCGGATCAGCACTGAACTGGCCTGCATCGGCATTCCCACTGCACACGACTCCTGCAGTGACACCGTGACGGGATTCCTCTCACTTGAGTCCGTGGACGTGAGTGCCTGGACTGGACCTGTCGATGCGGCCACGGCCTCATGTAGCTGAGTTCAGAGGCCATCGCTGACAGATGTCTTCGTGCTATAAGGCAGCCACTGCATCGACTCCGGGCGCACAAGCCTGCTGTCTGGGCTCCTTCCGAACATCTTGATCAGGGATGCTTGCCAAGAAGTAAAACTGGATACGCAGCCCCGCCGCCTCCACGGTTGACACCCCAGGTCCTGATACGGTTCAGTGGGTCCGCTCCCAACCCGGGTCCGAGCAACAGCTTCCTACCGAAGGCTGGGTCAAAAGTGATTTTCGCAGGCACTTGGGTGGGAGCGTCCTGCCACCCCGGCAACTGCTTTTTGTTTTAGAGGCCCAAAATGCTTCCTAAGGCCAGAGCCCTGCCTGCCGAGGCATTCGCAGCTGGCGACAGGGCAGGCTCTGGCGGTGTCTCCTGCACCAAAGGGCTGGGACTTGCTGAAGGAAAGTTGATGCAACGTTCTTGACACCCCACCGCCGCTGGCGGCACCGAAGGCTGCTCCACCCCCTGGACAAGAGAATGGACCGAAACCAATGCCACCGGATCAGCACTGAACTGGCCTGCATCGGCACTGCGTCGACTCCCACTGTTTGCTCGAACCCTTCCTCCTGAACAAAAACAAAATCCAACCGGAAGCTGCCGTGCAAGACAGCCCTGCCTCTGCGATGCCATGATCCCCCATGTCCTTTGCATGCTGTCGCAGCTCCTCCGGAACCTGCCACAAAGTCACAAAGGAAATATTAAGCTGACCACTCAAGCCCAGACCCACCGGTAAGCCTTGTAAGCTTCGGGACAGCTTGCCGCCCATTTGTTGGCCTTGAACCAGGATGACACGGGCCGGAGACGGCAGGACTCACGGACCCACCTTCACCAAGCTCGTGAATCTCTGTTCTCCATGATCAGATCGCCAGGTGTATGTAACTCAGCGGACGAGACATCGGACACAGAACGCCTCTGCAAAGGAACACAACGACAGCACAAATCGCCACCAAGGCGCAATCGTGCCGGCTCGAGCCGTAGTTTCTGTACAGAACTCGCCAAGGCATGTTGCTGCAGGGTTGCTATGGATGCTATGCGGTCTGTTTGGATCTGGCACCCAAAGTTTGGGACCCAAAGTTTGTACGAATTCTGTCAGCCACCTGGTGGCAAGCCCTCAAGTTTCACATGTCCACCGCAGCTTATAAAGAACCATGGCATGGCCAAAATGGCCACTCACGTCCAGCAGTCACGTTCGCACAAGACACACAAGGCTTCAGGCTGGGGTTTTAGGGCTTCAGGGTTTCGAGTCCGTCCCTATTTTTAATCCGAAAACTGACCTGGATCCAACGAGTGATTTCCGCAAGTCATCACCTGAGATCAAAAAATAGGAGTCTGACCTGAGCATGTGCTTGCGCAAGACTTGGGAGAATCGACTTGAAAGGATGTTGGTTAATAGGTAATGAAGATTTACGGTCAAAGTTTGGGATGGAACCAATCCGGGCAGTTATGAAACCAAGCAGCGATGCAGCCAAAAATCTTCAGGGCACACGACACAGAAGGTTTCAAGCTGGGCTTTAGGGCTTCAGGGTTTCGAGTCCATCCCTATTTTTAATCCGAAAACGAGCCTGGATCCAACGAGTGAGTTCCGACGCAAGTCATCCTCTGAGATCAAAAAAAGGACTCTGACCAGAGCTTATGCTTGCCCAAGACTTGGAAGAATTAACTTAAAATGATGTTGGTTAGTAGGTGATGAAGATTTTAAGGTTCAAAGTTGGGAAGGAACCACTCCGGGCAGTCAT